TTCAAACATACGCCAAAATTATCGAAAACAATTCATAACTGGAGTAAATGCAAGTGGTCTTGGTGTAAGCTTTCTTATTTATTGGAATTTAGATTTAATTATAATACTTAAATTGTGTATGATCATTTAGTTCGGTATTTACTTGAAATAAAACACAATTTTCAGATTTTTTCTGCACCATATTCAGGTATGTAGTACTCCACAGTTTTTAGTGTAAAGGAGATTGAGGTCAATTGTAACAGGGTACGAGCGTAACAGAGAAAAAATTTCGTGTGTGGGATTCTAGATTTGGTTCCTAGGTGGCGCACAAGGTGTATTTAATAAATCCACATGCACACCCCTGCTGGCAACCATTTTTGTGTACTTTTGAAAGAGTTATATCACAAAAGATATTTTCACGCTACGTAAGTACTTTTTTTGGTATTAGAATATTATATTGTAACAAAGTAATTTCGTATAAACAAATAAAAATTATTAACCGAATATGTAAGTGGGCACCTTAATTAACATTTAAAAAAGAAAGATTAGTTTTGTTAATTAACTAGCATTGTTTTTAACAAATGAAGCTGAAATGGCGTCTTGGGGACGATTGTAACAATAAGTAAAGGGACGATTGTAACAGCTGAAAATAGATAATCTTATGTTTACAAACCATTGTTTAACTCTTTAAGAACCACTGATAGTTTCCTATATCATTTATATTATGTTGCATGTGCATTATTTTATTTGTCACCTTTCACAGCATAAATTAAAATTTTTAATCTCTTAAAGTTAAAAGTTTAACCTTTTAGGTCTCTGCTTATTATTATTTTTACTCCTAAAATATCACTACTATTTTGATCAATAAAAAAATATATCACAACTATGATAATATGTATAATTAACTATGTTTTAGTTGAATATATAAACTGTTACTAATGACCCCGTAAGTGGGGACAATTGTAACAAGTGCACGACTGTCAAAAATTATTAATAACTAATATAATAACATTTAATTTTTTTTTCTAGTAGAGGATAGTCTACTTTACTCATCTGTCAATTAATACTAATAATATATTGGATTTTTTGTTAGTTAAAAATAGTTAAGTAAAAAATGATACAATTGACCCCACTCTTCCCTACCTTTAGCTACTACAGTGAGAAAAAAAGTATGGCCTAAACTACCTGAATATGGTGAAATTTACCATGTTTCTATTTCTATGGGAGCACAAAAAATGCTCGGCAGTTTTCCCCGAAGCGTTTTGGTAATAATTTTTAATAAAATTAATTTGGTGTGAAAATTTGGTAATATTATTATTATACATTAGATCATGGCATAAAAACTATTTGTTCGATTATATTCACTTCTCCGTTTTGTATTTGTTACTAAAAGTGAAGTAATAAGAACTATAATTTTGAATACCAGAATTTCCGGTAAGTCGTTACTATATGAATGGAGAAATAACCAAATGAAGGGTTTAAATATCGTATATTTTGGTTTTCATTTACCTAATTATCGTTTTTTTTACCATACATGTCATCACTATACAGTACCAATAACTTAATCAAAATACTTTTTCTCCGGGTGCCAGTAACTCTTCTATGGGTTTCATTTGTTCAGAAAATAAAATAAATTGAAATATAATAATGTCTTTTTGAAGGTTTAACATAATAAAGCCTCAATGCTTCCTCAAAGTTTCAGTTTAGTGTAACAGAATAAGTGTAGGTAACTGCGGTTTAAATATAATATGATACACAACTATTCGTTGTAATTATTAGTCTCGATAAATATTAAACTCGATATGTTAACCTCGAGAAACTAAATTGTTAAACTTGATATGTGAATTAATTCTTGTAAATTCTTATCATTCGAAAATATTAAATTTTATTCGAAAAGGAGAATTATATAGGCATTAAAAGTTATTTGATGTGTCATGAAATTTTTAAATTAAGATTAAAGCAAATAATTTCGTTGCTTGAAATGTTAGTAATTTTGATGTAATTGGAAATATTTTAGATTAATACGCAAGATGACCTTAGATCTAAACTTTAATGTTACATCATTTCTACATAATTGGAGAAAATTCCAGTTATATAACAAAACTAGATAGTTCTGTTGGTAGTAATTTGATTACAAATTTAGTGAGAATAAATTATTTCCTTCATGAATAGCATATATTTTATATGCACTCTGAATTGTTAATTAATAAATTTATTTATTCGGTGAATTAGCTTTTAGATATTGAATTAAATATTAAAATCAAAGCATTTACTTTTTAAAACATAAAAAAGGAGATAAATATCCTTTTAAATTAATTTAATGCATATCTATATCTATACGTATTTAAATTATATTGAAATTATATTAAATTAACTCATTTATTTCAACGTTAAAAATATTTATCAATCTTATTAAAAATACTTTTTTTTTTGACAAAATGCAATATAAATATTAACGTAGGATTATGAATAATTTTGATAATTTAATTATAATAAGGTTTCTATGTTTTAGGGACAAAATTTGATTTATTTCTTTTAAATTTTGCATTCATTTTTAAATATAATAATAGAAAAAATTAGTAAAAATTAAAGATGAAATGTTTTTGACTAGACCGTATTTAAAAGCCTTCGTTATGGTTTTAGTTTCTTTTAAATCAATCATCCAGATTATTTCTAAATTTTTATAATGAATAATTTAAAAAAAACAACAACAAGAAAACTTGTTTTTTTAATCAGAAGATCTATAAAGCATGGGTTCTTTATTGAATAACTCTCATTTTTTACGCAGACAATAAACATTTAAAACACAGATGCAAAGTTAATACAATTCTTGAAATTCCGCAAGCAGAAAAAAAATGCTGGTAAAAACTATATGGTAATGATATTCCTATTAAACAAACCACAATTCTGATTAATAAAACCAAAATATTGGGTATTTAAACCATTCATTTGCTAATTTTTTCGCAGCTTACTGAACATTCTGGTTTTTGAAATTATAGTTCTTATTACCAACACGAGTAGATGGAAAAAGCCGTTTCTGGGCCAGTGGTGCCGGTGGTTCCGAGTTGAGTTGAGTTGTTTGCCTCCTGCTGCTGAGTTGAGTTGAGTTGTTTGCCTCCTGATTTAGTTTTGGTTTCGTTTTTCAGAATTTTTTGACTTCCGGTGGCAACACCTGGATTAGTTTTGGTTTCGGTTTCCAAAATTTCTTACTTCCGGTGGCAACGAGTAAAATGTGAAAAGATTCTAACTTCCGGTGGCAACACTAAATTTAAATTTGGTTTCGGTTTTCAGAATTTTTAACTTCCGGTGGCAACAAGTTTAGTTTCGGTTTTCAAAAAAATATGCATTTTTAAGATTATTTAAATTTAAAGTTTCTAACTGAGAGGTGGCAACACCTAAGTTTATGTTTTGCGAATGGCACCACATAACTCTAGAGTGGTGCCAGTTAGTGACGTCATCTATTGATTAAAATAACTGATATTTCTACATTTCAGTATGGAAGCAATCATTACGTCATCTAATGCGTGCAATAATTTTATTAATGGTAATTATTATAATTTTAATGATGCTCGTGGCGCCATCTAGTGATTAAAATAAATACCAAAATTTAAAAAAAAATAATGCATACCATGATTACTATAGTTCTGGGTAGTAGTTGAGTTGAGTTGTTGATATCCTGCCTTTGCTTAAAAATATTAAATATAATTATTCAGTCCCAAGTTGAGTTGTTCACTTCATGTCTGCAACGTTATTGTTAAGAGTTGGTGGCAACAGTGCATTCGATCGCTACGTCAACGTGACGTCAGTTTCTGCCAGACCTTGTTCGATCTCGATTCTACAAGGTAGTGAGTGCATTACGACTATTATCACAATAGTGGCTCCATCTAGTATTCTAAATAATAACTTTGTTTAAAAATTGGAAGTAGGAAATGTTTAAAAATAAATATTTAGATTTAAAAATATATTTAGTTTTAAATATATATTTATTTTCATTCAGGATTTGAACCAGCGACCTCCAAAACAAAATGCTTCCATGGGATACTAGTTTGTCTGACGCGCTAACCAGTATCCCATAGAGACATGCAGTTTTGAGTAAAACTTATGATTTTAATGAAAAGAGTTTACTAGCTAGCGAATTTTTTTTATTAGCTCCATTTATCGGAAACAGTGAGTGGCAAGGATATAAATTGGTATTGAGATCATTTTTCACTTTATATTTTTTTCTACTATTTGTATTGAAGGTTTAGCAACAAGTTTAATTGACGTTATTAGTAATTAGTTCGAATTATGAATTACAGATACAAATAACGAATGGTAGCAAATGATCGAGACGAGCTAACAAGCAGGTACAGGTATTGAAAATAGAAATTGTATTGAATGCAATAAGTTAAACCAATGAGTCATCGTCATAAAGTTTTATACGTTACGTTTCCAGTTCAAAGTAGCACGTGGGAACTATTTCAAACATGATATGCTTTACCTGACGATATTTCTCGATAAGAAAAAAAAAAGATACATTCTATATTTCAGAATAAGAGATAGTTTCTACATAGTAACATTCTAACTTTGTTGCTACAATGACAAAGAATATTGATCGAGTATGCATGTGAAAAGCACGAAAATTTATGAATGGTTCTTGCGATGAGAAATGAAACATGTTTCACAGCTTTACAATCTTGTACCCCCGTTGTGATGACCACAGTGCTAGAGAACTCACACGTTGTCACCCCCCCCCACTTAGTTCGAATTATTCATAAACTTGTTAGGTTTTGTAGTAAACTTGTTCAGGATTGACTGATTTCAGTATCGTTAGAAATTCTACAGACGATAGTTCGTTCGAAAATAGTCTCTCATCCTCTTTTCGTTCTTTAACAATTCAACTATTTTTTAAATAGATGTTTCAAGTTTTTAGTTATCTAGCTTTTTTTAAACTTTCCTCTGATGTTTTTTTTTTTTACTTAAATATTTTTCTTCAGACATTATAAAAATTGTTTTTTTATTGATTTTAAATAATTGACAAGATGAGCGGAAATAGGTGTGCTCAGTGTGATAAGAATTTCACGACTAAAAAAAGCCTGTATAGGCATCAACGATCTATCCACGGCAATGCATCTTATCAATGTGCTCAGTGCAATAAAAACTTTAACAGAAAAGACGCATTATCCAGGCATGTGAAATTTCATTGCCACACAAGTAAAAGGAATGAACCCTCAGATGCCGGACCTTCAGGCCACCCTGCAAAAAGAATGAAAACTTTGTCATCAGAAGCGAGTACCAGTAGAGCATTGCGAGTGCAACAGCCAAGCATAACCGCACTGTCAAATCGTATAAAGACCTTTAACATCGAAAATGTGGACTAATTTTCCTTTTATACGGTAAATGTTTACTTGAAATTCTGGTTTTCAAAGTCATAGTTTCTATTACCTCAGATTTAGTGAAAAATATAGAACTGAAAAGTAAGTTTGACCGAAAAATTGGTTTTTATGTCATGCTCTGAGGTATGATCATAAAAAATTACCAAATGTTACAATGTTTGCCAAGTTTTTTCCTATGTTATAAAACCATACCAAAATCATTATCTCATCGCTTTGGTAAAAATTACTAAGTTTTTTGTTCGAGCTTTGGTAAAAGTTACTGAGCTATCGTTAAAAATTATCGAACAAATTCATACATTTTAGAGAAGAATTGTAAATGGAAAATGTTTTTTGTTGCAACAGAAATAAGTGCATGGCCAAAATGCACTGTAAAAATTTCAGTGTATCTCAACACCAAAAATGGTGGCAATTATTTTATGCAAAAGTGGTGTATTTAAGCGCAGTAAGGCGTTTATCTACTCTTAAAACCAGGCATAGTTCTTAGTGTAGTAAAACGTATCAAGAATGTTCTTTTGCACTACTTGGTGTTAAGTAGCCACCACCATTTTTTTCCATTTAGTAACTTTAAAATTTATAATCACAGTAAAATATTATTCGTATAAGAGACAGTAATGTTTTTCCTTAACAATGCAATATAAAACACGATAAATTAATTTAGATACGCGTATGTAATATTTCTTAAAACAAAATGAGTTTGTATATCAAATATGCGCACAACACAAAATACTTATATATATAAATCCGTACTAAGCTTTTAAAAATCCTGAAGTGGGCAGAAATGAAATATTATGAAATTATTTAATACATTTGCGAATTTATGTAATTGAGAAATCTTTTGTTATTGTACAATTCAAAATGAACATGCTTTTAATAAAAGTTTACTTCTGTTTCTTCGGAATGTTCAGCATCGTTCAAGCCGAAAACGGACTTTGGAGCTCGAACTGTAAACAGTATCCTTTGTCATCTGCATTGTCAGAATTTCTATTCTAAAATTATGATAAAATAACCGATAGCAGTCGTTCTATCCAATTAATAGTAAAGTTTACGGTAAAGAGCCTTTTTTACCTTTATAGTTTTGAAAACGTTTACAACCAGATGATTGACTTTCATTACACAATTATACGTTTTTTTTTAACTATTTACAACTAGCATGGTTTCAAAACCGCAAAAGAGAAATTTAACTGGACATAGTTGCTACACTTTACGTTATCTAATGGGCATTGGAGAGTGCTAGACACTAGAAATTCTTAATGTGTTTAAGGGAATATTTTTGGCCCAGTACAGGAAAGAGGCTGTTGGCGAATCAGATACAGCTTTGAATTATATAAACTCTATGGACAGCCACAAATAGTGCAGGTCATCCGAAGCAATAGATTAAGATGGCTTGGCCACATCTGGAGAGGTCCAGAAAACAATGCAGTACGAATCGCTACCTTCAAAAATCCTTCTGGACCTCGGGCCAGAGGAAGACCTCCAAGTAGATGGCTGGATGACACTACTATAGATCTCAAAGTAATAAAGATTAACAACTGGAAAAAAGTCGCCATGCATAGGAGGCGTTGGAGGCTACGCGTGGTTAAGGCAGCCAAGGCCTGTAAGGGGCTGTCGTGCTGAAGAAGAAGAAGTTTAAGGGAATGGAGGAAAACTTATTGTGCAACGCTGGGATTCGAACCTAGTACCGTCAGTCAAGAGACTGACAGATTAGCCCTCTCAGCTATTATATGTACGCAGTAACAAGGAAATAAGTGGCTTCATTAGGTGTGCTTAGTTGGTTCTATAAAAATTTTAGTTGCTTAACCGTATTAGGTGAAAGCAGTTAATAAAAGTTTTTTGTACAGTTAACAGCTTGATTGCCTCCTTATTTACGGTTATCTGACTGTTTTGTTTGAATAAGGTAAAATAACAATAAAATAAATTGTTATTTAACCATTTTTAATGAGAAATTTCCAATCGTGTGACGCTTTTTCAAACATACGCCAAAATTATCGAAAATATTTCATAACTGGAGTAAATGCAAGTGGTCTTAGCGTAAGTTTTCTTATTTATTGGAATTTAGATTTAATTATAATACTTAAATTGCGTATGATCATTTAGTTCGGTATTTACTTGAAGTAACACACAATTTCCAGATTTTTTCTGCGCCATATTCAGGTATGTAGTACTCCACAGTTTTTAGTGTAGGGGAGAGTGGGGTAAATTGTAACAG